GATCCGTTCGCGACTTACTTTTGTCTGGTTCGCGAACGGATCCGTTTGTCTATCATTCGCAAGCGGATCGGATACGGAGTTCGCGAACGGACAGAATACGGAGGAATACGGGAAAATGTGTTGTAGTTTTCTGAAAACGGGTCGCGTGCGGTCCGTATGCGGTTCCTATTTCAACCGCGCCCGAACGCTGACCGTCCGTTACGGATTGTTCACGAATCACCTGTGTAGATTTCTAAATTCCAAGATGAAATTTTTAGATTCTGACATTCTGAGATTCTGAGATTCTGAGATTCCTAGATTCATAGATCTCTAGATTCCGAGATTTTTTGATTTCTAGATTCCTAGATTCCTAGATTCCTTTATTCCTAGATCCCTAGATCCCCAATTCTCACCTGGAAAGTCTGCTTGATCGGACGCTTGCACGATGCACAGGTGAAATGTTCCGGATGCCAGAGACGATTCATTGCGACCAACGCCTCGCTTCCAATCGACTGATGACAGTGTCCGCAGTGACGACGATCGATGCTTCTGTCCATTTTTGACTGAGATCCTTGGTATCAGAAGGGATATGAAGGAGTCGGGTGCCAGGGGGAGATGGGCGGTTGGTGACCCGTGGATCATGTGGACGATGGGTGATTTGGGAAAAATAGGTGGATGAGGGGCTCACGGGAAAAATCGAGTTTCTTAATAAAATTGGGGAAAAAATGACGTAATAAAAATAGAGAGTATGAGAACGGATACAAACTGAAAAGGTGAAAAAACGGAAACAGATCAAAAATAAAAGCTTAAAGTGGAACAAACATGAACACTGCCTACAACCTAAATAGTCTAAAAATGCATAAATGGCTAAAAGAAGGATCTGACAAAATACCTTCTTTTTCCGTTTTCCAGTGGAACATAGTCAATTTCAAAGTCCTAAAAAAGTATAGCAGAATTTTTCGATCTATCTGAAAATTTCAGAGTATACTGGACAAAAAATTTAGAACTTCATTTTTGTAATTATCAACTTTTCTGTAACCTTGTTAGTTTTTTGAGATATGCGCCTTTAAAGATGGAAGTCGCCACAATACAAGGGAAGGGGAGGGTAGGAGAATACGGTATTTTCAAAAGCGAATATCTGAAAAACTAAAAAAAACTACAAAAAAGGTGTCAACTACAAAAACGAAGCTCTATTTTTGTTTAGTATACTCTCAAATTTTCAGATAAATCGAAAAATTCTGCTATACTTTTTTAGGACTTCACAATTGACTACTTTCCACCGATAATGTCAAAATACATTATCTTCTTGTCCGGGGTACTGTAGCTGGTGAGTTTTGTGTTGCAAAGGTTCGGAAAGTGAAAGTACCTACTTTTTCCGGGGTATGGTACCCACTGGATACAAATGATATGGCTTATCCAAAATTTTGCACAATTGGACATCCGGACAAACAGATAAACTCTAAATTTCAGAATTTCGAAATTTCCGTTAAACACTGTTCAATGCCAAAACTCCAGAAAAGTCTGAAGTTTCAAAATTTCAAAACCCGAAAATTTTGTCCTTGAAGTCCTGAGAAACTAAAATAATCCTGAATTTTGATTTATCAAAAATCTACTTTCCTGTGAATCGGGATAATTGAGCTCAAAGTTGCCGTTTTGAGCGGGCTTTTATTAGAGTAACCACACTATAAATGAGATATTACTATACTTTACTTGAGATTTCAAATTCTTGTCCCATGTTTTCTCGATTTTTTTCTGAATTCAATTTTTTCCTCAACTCCCTACCCACGACCCGGCACATTCCCCGACATCATGAACCCGAAAAAGAGACACCATATGAACACCTCATCCTATATCAACACGGCGCCGACTTTCTTATCTTTCCCGTCAAAGGGATGCGCTCGATGAATCAGTGGTGGTGCTGGATGGTGTCGGCGGCCAAGTCATTGGTGCACTAATAAGGGAGAGAAATTTGAATTATTTTAGATAAAGAAGGACTAAAAAAGTTTAAAAAAAGCTGGTCAGACCATTTACTGGCACGTATTTTTCCTATCAAAAGGATTTGAAAAAAAGAGTAGATTTCTGGATAAGGATGACTAAGAACCTGAAAAGAAGAATCGAGATAAATCGGTGAGATCTTGAACTGCCCTACAGGATGTTTGCCAAGAAATGTCTCCGGAATTTTTCATAAACTCTGGAGCCCCCAAGAAGGACTTTCCTTCTCTTCCCCCAACTTTCTAATATTGCAGAAGTTCAAATTGAAAAACATTGACAGGTGTGAAATTACAAAACAAAATCTATCTGCTTTTCTCAATGTTGTTCTTCTCCTCGAATCAAAAAAACATACTCACACCTGTCCACCTTTTTTTTCTTTTCCACAGCACGCTCTCTATTATGAGCTGCAAGCCTTTTTCTCAGCGGAGCGCGTTTCCGCGCGGCGAAACTTTAAAAAAAAATTGTACTCAAAAATACGTTTTTAGCCTGGATTGATAGCTCTAACGGTTCAAAAGTTATGATCCAAAACATGAGTGGCTGTATAAACCTGCAACGCAGTGTTGAGAACTCGGGAGACCGTGCACGGTTTAATATCTGTTTCCTCTCCATATTCAAAATATCTTGAAACACGGGGCTGCTCTGAAACACTTCCCTGTTTGCCCGTCTTCCTTCACAACCTTCTGGAAGTTTTCCTTTGGGCGTGTCGCCATTCGACGTACGGTCCTACGCGGCTACAAAGGAAGACACGCCCACTGCCCTGTCGGAGCAGTGATAGTTCAGTTCATTTGGTCATTCGGTATAGACATGCCGCGTATTCTACGCCGTTTCCCTCGGTGCTGTATTCCACCAACTATTTGGGAGTCGAGTCGAGAGGACTACCTTCAGGATGTCGTCAACCCCAATTCTCATATCAACCCCAATTGGTCCATCATTCGATTCTTCTTCATGTTTGCTGGCTATGATTTCGAGTATGGAAAAGCTACTGTGAAGGAGAAAGCACCGTTTGTTAAAGAATATGTCCCTGACAATTTTCTGGATTCTCAGTTGGAGAATTCGACTCATCTATTGACGAACACATGGAAATGCGCTACCTCCTATTCACGGTAAGCTCACGGTAAGCTGAATAAATCCAAAATTAAGATACTGTAGTTTTTTATTTCTAGAGTTTTTGGGTTACTGTACCTTTCAAATCTTCGTAGCTCAATGCAAATATCATTTTCTGATGTTAGAAATGGGGTCACTGAGTCATTGCAAGTAGAGAGATACTGTAACAACCAGAGTCACTGTAACTCGAGGTGTATACTGTAGCCACTAGAATCATTGTGGCTAGAGGGGTACTGTAGCCACCAGATGAATTTTTACAAGAGATGAACTGTAACCGCCAGATTCACAGTAATTAGAGGGTTACTGTAGCCACCAGGGCCATTGTAACTAGAAGGATACTTTAGCCACGGCTCACTGGAACTAAATAAATACTGTAGCCACCAGGGTCACTGTAACTAGAGAGATACTATAGCCATCATAGCCATTGTATATAGAGGGATACTGTAGCTACCAGAGTCTGTATCAAGAAGAATACTGTAGCCACCGGATTCATTGTGTGTAGAGGTTGTGTGTAGGGATACCGTAGCCACCAGGAGAACGATATAATTGTACTGATCCTATCCAACTTTTCAGCTCCAACGACGACGACTCTGTCTCCACGGACGCCTACTACACCTACATGTAATCAATGCGACACTTCTTCTTCTTCAATTCTAATTTTCTATTTTTCATTTTTCAATAAATATTTATATGTACCGTAGTTTAGGATTTTTGTGAATCTTCACTTTGAATACCGTAAAACCTGTATTAGAGGAGCCGGCATATTGCTCCAAAGTATCTCCAAGGTGCCCTTCTAATACAGGTTTTACCATAGTTTTTTTCCCTAATCTGGGGTGCTTCTGGTTTCTCAGAACTTCGAAAGAAAGATTTTTCAGAAAAATTGAAATGTCTGTCAGTAAAATTTTTCAGAAAAATTGAAATCCTCAAAAATTCTTTCAAAATTCGCAATTTTCAGAAAGTTTTTAGGTTAAAGCGATAAACAGATAGACCAGAAGAGAGACATTTTAGAGCAACATGAGAAAATAAGGCATAAGCAAAAGGTCGGAAAATAGGGCGAGATAGGCAGAATAAGGCTAAATGCTTTCTGAAAAGTATTCAGAAGGCACCTAAAAAAATAAGAAAAAATCTTCAATAAAATACTTTATTTTTCAAAAACATACTTTACACACACTACGTTCGCTCCATTGAGACAGAGAGAAGTCGAAATTACTCATCAAGGGGTTGGTTTGGTTTTGAGTCGAGAAATGGTGGAGTAACCGAGTAGCGAGAGCATAGGCTCCTATGCCTGGATGGTCGAACCACCGCATGGAGTCGCCTCGAGACACACATTCACATCCTTATTCTTCTTAAGGGCTTGCGAACGGCAGCTTGTCTGACTCTTGGCCGAACGATTCGATGAGCGAGACGAGCGACGGGATCGCATCGATGGCTTCTCCTTATCAGCAGCTGGTCCTCCGCAAATGTAGTTCGACAGCCAGCATCCCTTGGTCTTTTGTCCCTTCTTGTACTCCTCAACGAATCCCATCAATGAGCCAATGGGGGCGGCGGTGACCACATCTGGAAATTTTGAATATATTGAATTTTATTGAATTTTTGAATTTTGAAAGTTTCGAATTTTCGGAATTTTTGATTTTTCGCGATTTCTATGATTTTTAGCGATTGTCAGGTTTTTGGCAATTTTCCGAATTTTTGGCAGTTTCCGAAAATTTGGAAATTTCGCAGTTTCTGAAATTTTTGAAGAAACTATTGGATTTTGGCGATTTTTAGGTTTTCTGCGATTTTTGGCGGTTTTGGAACTTCCGGCGGTTTTTAGCAAAATTTAGGATTTCAAAGATTTTCAGGTTTTTCGCGATTCTTGGCTATTATCAGGGATTTTTAGCATTTTGGCAATTTTTAGACTTTTGGAATTTCAGAATTTCAGGATTTCCGAATATCTAAAATTCAGAGCTTCAAATCTTAAGATTATCAGAATATCAAAATCACAATGTTTGGAATTTTTTCTAGTTTTTTGGTTTTTGGAATTCAGAAGTTTCAAAATTTCAAAATTTCAAAAATTTCGCATTTTTGATTTTTTTTTTAATTTTTTGAAATTTGGAATTTCCAGATTTTTGAATTTCTGAATTTCTGACCTCTCTCAATATTAACTGCGGTCGCAGTATCCAACTCTTCCACATCCACCGGATGGTCCGTCGACTCGATACACGTGGCACTTCCTGGCAAGTTGATGATAGTTTGTGGAGCCGAGAACTGATCAGTGAACTTCACAGACAGGGCGAACGCCTCCTGGCACGTGGTCCCAACCGTTGTCTTTTGATCGATAAACTGCTTGAGATTCTTGGCGTACACCGGCACCACGTATCCTTTAATCGACAGTTTGCTCTTGTCCCATTGCGAAAGTTTCGACGAGGCGACACGGAACTGAATGACGCGATGCGAGAGTGGTGGGAAACGGAAAACGTTCGTCGGGAACGAGATCGCGTCGCTCGAGGCAATCAGTTTGAGAAGGAAGTCTTTGCCGGTGGTGTTGCGGAAGACAAGTGTGCGTTGCACGAGATCACGGCTTGTTGAAATGTGCACTTCCGTTGGATTCGATTTCTTCAGTCTGCAATTTTCAGATTCTAGAGGATCAGGTTGTTTTTGAAGTCTGCAATTGTCCAGGTTGAGGGGAAAATTACTGGTTTTGAAAGATCAGTTCAACAAGGATCGTCTCCTTTATATTATGTTTTTCAAAAATTTTTGAGAGACGCAGAGAAACTAAAAGCTCTAACTTCTCTGCGTCTCTCGAGGCTCGGCGTTACATAGAAGGGTCGGCCAACTTTCAGCTCACTCAGTTCCTATAAGAAATATCAAAAAGTAGTAAACTGATAAAACATTGCTGATATCATGATAAACAATTTACCAGTTGATTACTTTTTGCTATCTCTGAAAGGAGCCGACATAATCAAGCTCGAAGTTTAGGGTCTGGATGGGCTTCTAATAGAGGAAATACGGTATTTCTGAGCAGCTCACTTCGAGCTCAAGTATTTCGGTTACTATCAGAGATATCAAAAGTCTGTCAACTAATAAAATATTGATGATATCATGATAAACATTTCACCAGTTGAGTACTTCTTAATATCTTTTATGGAAATCAAGATAAGCGAGCTCAAAATAAAATGATGAGAATTTACGGTTTCTTGGCTCTCAGTGGTTCTAGAAAAGTATTTTTTTTAGGAAAAAGCTTGATTTTTTCCAGCAATCAGGTGAGCTTATTTGGGACCCGAATCAAAACAAAAATTGGAACCTTAAATAGAGTCCGTCAAAATGTGACAGAATAGAGCTAGGCAAGCCCAGGCGCAGTACTAGATCCAGCATCCTGGATTTCCCACAAGTCTAAGTGCCCTATAGCGGAGTCAAGGGGCGGAGCCTAAATTAAGATGCGCACTGTTTTGCGACTCGCATACGGTCATGAGGAAAACTGGGCGCAACTACCAATTTTGGCTCCACCGCTTGACTCCGCCCACTTTTCCCATGAATTATTTTCCCGAAATGTTCTTTCCGCGGAATTTGACTCCGCCTTGCCAGAAATCGCGCCTCGGCGAACCTCAACTCGAGCTCGCTGGAGCGCGGTTTCTGCCAAAATATTTCGAACCCCTTTGTGCATCAGAGCAAAACTTACAAAGGCATCGTAGTTAGTTGGAGAGATGGAGGAGAACTGGCGATTCGAGTTGTCCACGAAAATCCGAGAGAATAACTGATTCGTGTATCGCGAAGCGGCTCGTTGGCGTTTTTTTGACCCCTGGATGTTTTGGTGGGGGATAATAGGTTATTGGAGAATTTCACGAAAATTCGAAAAATAATCACAAGTTTATTCACACTGGTATGGCAAAAAAAGATTTAAAATACACGATCGAATTTGCGTAAAATTATAAATATCCCGTTTTTTTTCCTATTTTCAGGTCATCAAATTGAATCTAGAAGAGGTACTCATCACCCAGCTCGAATTGGTGCATTTGCGGAGAGTTCTGGAAATTTCAGAGTGTCATAGCAAATGCGCTCCATTGATAAACTTACGGCAATTGTCAATAGAGCGGTTAGTCCATCACAAAAGGCGGTGAATAGAATAAAGAAGAATAGTCCGAATCGCTCTTTTTCGGAAATTGTCAGAATTGCGCATGGATGGTCTCTGAAAAAAAGAGAAAATTCTAAAAAATTATTTTTCCAAAAACTAACGCTGAGCAATCCTGTCCACCATCCTTGGCCATCAGAACAATGGCGAAAACGAGCTTGACCAGGGATAGAGCCATCTCAAAGCCAAGCATTGCGAATACCACTTCTGAAACAAAAAATTTAGTGGTGGCCTAGAAACCCAAAACTAGTCCCCGTTTGAATAAAAACTCACTCAGCGTTGACCGGATCCCATGGTATACTGTAATAATGATCAGCACGAGTTCTGCACATCCAAACGCAAGTATTGTGTAGAAAAATGAGTTGTCGAGAAGGATTACTGTAATTTTGGGAAATTGAATTTCGGAATTTCAAAATCTCAGAATCTCAGAATTTCAGAACCTCAGAATCTCATTATCGTAAGAATCCTAAGAATCCTAAGAATCTAAGGATCTGAGAATAGAAAATAAAAAATTGAGAATATCTGGAACCCAAAAAAAAGCCGTACCCGAAACAATGAGCAAAACCAGATAGACAATCAGATTGACCGATTTGATTCCAATCAAAAACGAGCTGAATCCCAACATCGTCCTCTCCACCTCCACGCACGTCGTGGATTCTGGTGCATTTTCGATTTCCTGCTGATGCTCCGCCAGAATATTTGACGTCGTTGGTGTCCATCTGAAACAAAAAAAAGAGGGTCTCTCGGAAACAGAATATATGTGTACATAGGTGTTGGATTTCATGTCAAAAAATTAAATTTTTTGTGGAGGTGACAAATTTTATATTTTTTAGGGAAAGACTTTTTCAAAAAAAGCTTCTTAATTTCTGAATTTCTTGGATTTATGAACTTCCGAATTTTTGAATTTTTGAATTTTTGAATTTCGGAATTTTTGAAGTTCTGATTTTCCGAATTTCTGATATTTCAGAATTTTTTGAGTTTTTTTTTGAGTTTTTTAGAATCTTTTGGAAATCTTCGGAATTTCAGAATATCTGATTTTTTGGAATATTTTGAATTTCTGAATTTAGGAATTTCTGAATTTCTGAATTATTGAAGTTCTGATTTTCCGAATTTCTGAATTTTTTAATTTTTGATTTTTTGGAGTTCTGAATTTCTGAATTTTGAAGTTCTGAATTTCCAACTTCCTGTCAAAAATTTGAAGTGTTGTGAGTCTATTTTAAAAGGATTTTTCAACATTTTCTTTCCTTAAATAGCTAAATTTTTTAAATTTATGATTTTCTTCAAAAACAACAAAAACTCACTCATTGTCAATTAAGTTCTCAGTGGAGGTATTCATGGAACTTTCCATTAGAATTGGATTTAAAAAAAAAAGAAAAAAAAATCGAAAAGCGAAAAAAAAACAGGTCTAATAATAAATGACCGATTGTGTTAGCGTGCCGGGGCACCCTTGCCTGTTTCTTCGATTATTTGTCTTTCCCTCTGATTCTTTCTTTCTCTAATTCTCCTCGATTTCCCACACTCTCTCACTCTGTCTCTTATCTCATTTGCCCTCTGTCGTTTTGACAGAAGTATGACTAGTGACTGTCACGTACTACCACTTACAAATTGTTATAGTAATGTTACAACTGCTGCACAGTCTTTTTTTTTGGGTCATGTGCTAAAGTCGCTGCATTTTTTTCATGAGAAATTTTGGTGGTTTTTGTCGATTTGAAAAATTCAAAAGTTCTAATACGTTTAATCTTGCTAAATTCAGTTGTTTTAAATTTAGATGTTTTTCTAAACTAATACATATGATGGGAGGGTATTACCCACCGTTGTGGTGAACCGTGGAACCTCTAATAGAAGTGCCCACTAAGTTTGAGGCAATTTATTTCGGTTTATGTAATAGATATCTAAAAGTGATCAACTGATTTAATGTTAGTGATATTATGATAAGCATTTCATTTTCATTAGACAATTACTTTTTGATATCTTTCACAGAAACCGAGATAAATTAGGTCAAAGTTAGGGCTACCGACACTAGTCCACACTTTTAACTTTGAGTTAATTCATCTCGGTTCCTGGAGATATCAAAAAGTGATCAATTAACAAAAAGTTTATCAAAAAATCAAAAATGTTTTGTCAGTTGATCACTTTTTGATATCTCTTACAGTAACCGAGATAAATAGGGTTAAAATCTGGGAATTTTTATATTACAGGATTTACAGTATTCAATTTTTTAAAAGTTCCCCGACCCAACTTTTTTCAAATTTTTTTGAATAATCCTCGTAATTTAGACATCTACAGAATTCAAATGTTCTAAAAATTCTAAAAAGTAATATTCACTGAAATTATTGAAATGTTTCTTTTCCCGCTGATTTTTAGTAAAAAATACAGAAAAGCAAAAAATTGGCATAACTGAAAACCCAAAAAAATAACACTGTTTTTTTGTGACAAAAAGTAACACTGTTTTTTTGTGACACATTCTCCAAAATCTCCAAAAAAATAGCATGCAAAAACTCACAAAAAGTAGGCAGATTCATAGGAAAAGTTCATAATTTTTGAAGAAAAATTATATCGAATTCTTGACTAAACTACCTCAGCTCGAGAGATATGGAACATAAAACTGGGGTCTAGTATTTTTTCGGTCATAAAATTCCTTGGAAATTTATTGAACTTATTCAGATTGCTCAAAACCAAATTGCTCAGAAATTCAGAAATTCGAAAAAATTCAAAAAATTCGAAAGTTTCCAAAAATCATAAAAACCCCAAAATACCCGAAAATCCAGGAAATTTCTGGAAATTCAGAAATTCAAAAATTATAAAAAACTCAGAATTTCAGAATTCCAAAAACCCCAGTATATACAAAAATTACGAAATGCGTAAAATCCCTAAAAATCCTCAAAATTCCAAAATTCCCAACAGTCCAGGAAACTCACAATTTCAGAACTTCAGGAATTCAGAAAACCCGGTATATTCAAAAATCCCAAATTTCCACGAAATTCAGGCCTATAGGATTCCGGGAAATTTAGAAAAATCAGAAATTCCAGAAATTCGGATTTCCAAAAAGCTCAAAAATCCCAGAATTTCAGTCTGAACAAAAAACCAACTCACTTTTCGACCAACTCGAATTCTTGATCTTTCGAATTACTTGTAGGTCCAGTGCTTGTCGTTGAGATTACTGTAGTCAGTGGTTTGTCATCCCTCATTGTTCTAGAAAAAAATTCAGAATTTTTAAAAAGTTCCGACATTTTAAGAAAAAAGTTTTCATTCTTTTTCACGTGTTTAGGTCAAAAAAGGAATTTTGGAATTTCAGAAGAAAAATGGGGTTTTTAGGTTTTCAGGAATCAAAAATCGGGGATCAAAAAGTCAATAAATTGCCACGTCACACAGAAAATTCCGGAAAAATAAAAAAAGGAAAATGGCTAAAAAGGAACCGTTGAAAGTGGGGGGAAGAAGTAAAAATAGAAAAGTACCTAGTAGAAGGGCGAGATAGCATGAGATGAGAGGAGACGCAAAGGATTAGAGATAAATCGCCGCGTGATTTGTGTTGTGTTCTGTTTTTTGTTGCGAGACAAAAAAAATTGAAAAATGAGAGAAAAAGAAGAAAAAAAAACAAATTTTGGAGGAAAAAGAAATTCTTGTAGCCTTGGAAATTGGGTCGGTGTAGCCTAGTGATTTGGGGAGTTTAGAGATTTCGATATTTAGAGAAAAAATTTCGAAATCCAAAAAAAAATTCAGAAATTCGAAAATTCGAAAAATCAGAAATTCGAAATTTTAGAAATTCCAAATTTCCAAAACTTTCAAAAAATCAAAAATCCCAAAACTTAAAAAAATCAGATTTTTGTCAGAAAAAAAACCGAAAAATGCCAAAATTCACAGACAAAAGAAAATAAATCTCAAAAATAGCAAAAATCTCAAAAAAAAACAAAAATGGACATTTTCCGAATTTCGGTAGATCAAAATTTAGACATTTTTGATCTATTGAATTTTTTTGAAATTTGGACATTATTGATCTACCATACTTTTTTTAACTTCCTAACCAAACTTTTCAGGATTCTCCCCTCCAAAATTTGAAATTAATAGTTTAAAACAGAAAAAAAAATCGTTGACTGCAAGAGAAAAAAGAAAAAAAAAGCAAAACAATTTTTGATGATGAAAAATGATGAGATGTGGGTGGCTGGGTCAGAAAATGAGTAAAAAAAAGGGAATGAAAGGCGTTTGAGGTCAATGGCCTATTCCAAATTTTAGACATTATATGTACAAAAAATCAGAGAAAAAATGGAAAAAAGAGAGATCAAATTCATTATCCAGGATTTTTTCGGAATTCTGAATTATCTTGTTTTTGAGAATTTTGGAAAATCCAGATTTTCTGACAATTCTAAAAGTTTAGAATTGTTCAGTAATTTTCTGGATTCCTTAACTTCCAAAATACCAAAATCTTCTAGAATCCAAAAAAAATCCGTGAATAAAATGAAAGAAACTTCTGGAGAAATGGGAAAATTGTTTAAAAAATTGGGGTCATTGGTTATGAATCGTTCTGCTCATCCCATCCGTTGTCCTTCACCATATGCGCCAATTCGATGATGAATTTGCCCTCTTTGTACTTTTGCGAAGATTCAAATGCATGTTCCTGAAAAAAGGAGAAATTTGAAAAAAAGAACATCTGTTGTATGGTGCTATGTGGTACTAGACATTGGGTCAGATGGGTGGACTTTTGGAATTTAACAAAAAATCGGAAATTTAAAAGTGTATGGACCCGAAAATATAGAATAGAGAATTAGGGTTTTCGAATTTTTTGAATTTTTGTGTTTTTTGAAATTACAGGAATTACATTTATAGGATATTTGGAGTTTTTAAGATTTATTTAAAATTTTGAATTTTCTAGAACTTCTTCGGAATTTCTGAATTTTTTTGAGTTCACCAGAACTCCGAAAAATTGACATTCATTGGAATTTTTGGTTTTTTGGATTTTTACAAACTTTTAGAGTTTTCAGAATTCCTTGGTTTTTTTTGGATTTTTTAAAATTTTTTGGAGTTCTGAATGCTCGAATTTTTGGAATCTCGGATCCTTGAAATCTTGAAATCTTAGATTGTTGGTTTTTAGATTCTGTTTCCTTACAATTAGCTATTTGGGTTGTTGGATTCTTAAATCCTTCGATTCTATTATGATTGAAACCTTTCTATTCCTTAGAAAATTCCTTATTCCCAAACATTCATTTTGGCGCCAAAATTTCCATTTTCAAAAAATTTATCACCCCCTTGACCTCCATTTGTCCCTCATCACACTCCCTCCTATTCAACTGTTCTTTATACTACTCACATATTTCCATCCCAATGTCGTTTTGCAGATCTCACAATAAATGTCGGCGACCGCATGAAGACCGGTCAGAAGGACACGCTCCTCGGCCGGACCGCACCCGACGTTTACACTGAAAAAAAAATAAATTTAGCGATTTTCAGATTTTGAAAAACATTTTCGAAAAATTGGAATTCAGAGCTTTGAAAAAATATAACCTATTCTGGAAAGTTCAAAATACCGAAATTTCGTGTCCAAAATAGTCAACTTTGGAGTCCTGAAAAAAGTGGTTCGGAATTTTCCAATTTGTCTGAAAATGTCAGAGAATACTAATCAAAAATTGGGCTTTATTTTTGTAGTTGACAACTTTTTTGGGCGAATGGCCTTAAGCGAAATAGCCCTTAACTTGGACCTGATTTATCTTGTTTCTTGTCAAAGATATCCAAAACTTTTCAACTAATTAAATATTTGTTATAATGTGATTGATATTTTTCCAGCTAACAA